ATCCGAACTATACCCTTTCTTCAAGTATTGAATTTAAAGAAGACGCAGTTTTCTGCCAAATGAGCAAAGGAACCACATGTAAGAGTTGGATTTCTAGAATTAACTAAGCAGGTTACGGGGCAACGGTATGAAGAAGGACCCCATCTACCTGTTAGCAAACTGTGAGTCGTGTCATATGGGGTTTTATCTTGGCATACCTTTGCATGCTGCTGCAGAAATTACACTACCAACAACGATTACTTCCCAGAACTTCACATCTTAACTCAAAATCCGTTATTTTATGAATTTTACTTTTTGTTTATTGTTTGATTACTACTGTCATTTCCGTTGTCATATAATAGCGTAGAATAAGACTTTCGGCATAAATCCAGGCAGTCCACTGTGCGATTCAGCGCTGCCCCTACTTACTTGCACTTGCAATGGCTAGTGCCATGGTTGGTTGAACAGGCTTCAGTATCCTCGGAATCTTCCGTAAATGGTCCTAGCAGCCCACACGGTTAAGTGCATGACTGATATAAGGGCCATCTGACCAACAGGCGGTTTGCCAATGCGTTAAGCCGCCGAAGACGACGGGAGATATTATATTGGATGGCGTTCAACATCCACCATATCTAACTTTACGACAATGGCCTTTGACCTCTTTCCAGATAACAGAGATGCTAGATCGGAGCCCATTTTCACCTGAAGTAAGGATGGTCCATAACTGTTTAGTTGCAAGACTCATGCCAAATCTCAGGATCAGTCGGCTAGCCGGCTCAGAAAACCATTTGATGCAAAGGAGGGGAAAGAGTGATTGAGGTCGACCCTCAACGCATATTCCTCACTGTAAGCAATCTGATGCGCTTGAGACTACCACGATGCAATAAATGCTTGCGTTGAAAGGTTGCCAATCGATGATTCAACTCAGACCTCACAGTCAGCCTAGTAGTTGTGTTCATGTGGAATTACCGGCTAGTTGGTTGACACTAAGGCTGCAATAGATCCTGATCAATGAGGCCTCTTTGACGCTCTCACGCGTGTAAGATCCGTCCTCGCCCCTCCCCTTTATTGTGAAACGCTGGTGTGTTGTGGGGGAGGGGGCAGGTCGTGTGCGTAGCACGCGCAGTCGTGCTCTCTAGCTCTGTCAGCCACCGCGCCATCTCCCACACCACTTGACTCGGACAGTGAGCTGCTGTCTGGGAGAGAGGAGAAGGAGTGAGGTCGGCTCTAAGCATATTCCTCACTAATAAACAATTTGACGCACTGGAATCTTTCAGGGTGTGTTAAAGGCCGTGGTTTGAAAGCCGCCAAATCACGGCATAACTCGGAGAGAGTGATGAACAGGGGAGCGTAGTAGACGCCGCGCAAGCACACCATTACTATAAACTGAAGCACGCGCAAGTCACAGTCCCTGCGCCCGACCTGCTGTGGACCTCGTCAGAATCAAAAGTCGAATTTTCCTTTGCAAGACTCGAGGACATGTTTATTTTGCAGGTGAATGGCACTGTTGGGTATCCCGCCACCCACTGTCCGCGGCCCACCCGGGTGATTGACAGCTCAAGCCAACAAGCAGGCCACAACATCTCGGGACACTGCCTTAACGACAGTTCGGCCGCTGGAAAGGAGTGGACACAGCGACGGTAACTCGCGTTTGATTGTTGTGAGGCGGAATTGCGCAGACTCTGCCGCGCTCCATCCCATCTCCACCAAATTTGATCTGATGGCGAGATAAGGTAGGCTCGGACAGAGTGGCTGGCAAAGCAAAACAACTGGCCTACGCGTGCCATGCACAACCCTCTTCATACTCCACATGCATCAGACTTTCACGACCGCGGCACGGAACTCACAAGCATGTGATTGCCATAAAGGTCACACTAAGAAGGTACAGTGTGTGAACGATCTCATTAAATGTTGGCCAGAATTCTGGAGTGCGTTTCCGATTAGGAAGGATTACTTAGGTGGGACTGTTATACCTATTATCATGCAGCCCAACCCCATAACCTTTCGAACTCCACAGGATTTCAGCTTTCGAATGCACTTCGTTTTGACCTCCTGCAGAAACTACACTCGGTTAATAAGTGATTACTTTCGTAGCATGCACTTTCCTTATTGATTTTCGATGGTCTTATAAATTAAAATAAATTTTATAGAGAACACACACAAAAATATGCTTTCTTTTGCTCACTTGGTAGGAAAACACATTGCCTTCATAATTTATGCTCGAAGAAGGTGTGTATTTAGGTTTTAAAATAATTTCCTAATTCCCGAATAATTTTCGGCCTGATCTGCCATTGTATCAGCGTGTAGTAATTTGAGTCTTAAAGGTGCATGCTTACCGCGTAGGGAGAATCATTTATTCCTCTATGCCTTTAAGGAGACGCCGCACAGACTTCATGAAATTTTGTAATAGATCCGGACTGTGCTGTACATTTCATCATGGGCATTAGTAAACGGACATGTGAGGTATTGCATGCATGGACATCGCACGATCTTAAACATTTCGTAATTAGAAACTTTTTTAAAACCAAAATATACACTTTCTTCGGGCATGAAATATGAAGGCAATGTGAGTTCCTACCAAATGAACAAAAAAGCATATATTTGTGTGTGTTCTCCACAAATATGTTTGACTATCAGAAATCAATAGAAAAATGTATGCTACTTAAGTAGTCTTTTTACCGATTGTGGTTTCTGCAGGAGGTCAAAAAGACATGCTTCCGAAAGCCGACATTTTGACGAGTCCGAAATGTTATAGGGTTATGTTGCAAGACAATGAGTATAAAGATCCCACTTAAGTAATCCTGCCTAGTCAGAAACGCATTCCAGAATTTTGGCCAACATTTCATGAGATCGGTCATGCACTGTACCATTGCAGACTGACTCCTAGTCCTGTGAAAGAGTGGTTTATCCCATCAATTAGCAATCCGCCAAGGCAGGGCTTTGAGCTTACCTTAGACTTATTGTAGTGGAAAGTGGGCTGATGTGAAGTGAGGATGGAGTCTCCACTGTCGGCCTTCCCTTTGCCGTGCCCCAGTTGACTGTCCGAGCCTGCCTGCCAGCCAACGTGTGCTGAGAGTAGGTGTACCGGCTGAACCTAAGCCGGCCGCAACGCCTCCCACTTGTGGCAATAATTATAGGCTCCACGGACTCTGCACTGCCAGAAAAAGGCGTGTCGTGGGTCGGTCTGGCTCCCGTTTTGATCCGGTGCAGCCCTTTTGTTGGGGAGCGAAAGGGTTTTCACGAAAACCGAAAACTAAAATTTTCGGACAATATTGAATTTGGTGATTGTGCACCCCAGTAATAACCGCATGCTGAACAGTATCTACCTCATTCCATCCGCAGAAAAGTCACACAATATGGTTTATTGCGCTCAGTATTTCCTGCATGTCAAGTTGGCAGTACTTTGACATTATTTACTGATAGACTTCTGATCGTCGACTTTTAGAACCTTATCTATTTTCGCGTATTGGGCTTATCCCACAGATAGACTCTGTGACTCTCTTGTCTGCATATGTATCATTGCGTTCGATACAATTGGGTCTGCTCATCTGAAGTCAAACGTTGATCCAGCCTGGGGTCCTCATATTATTGTCATGACCTACAAATAGCAAGGTCTGATATTTCATTCTGGTGTCCTCCTTCCTACGTATGCCAAGGGTGATATCCTTCGCTGGGTAAACCCCTGCTGTGGGTTGGGAAGGAGAAGCAAACCACAACAAGAGCTGCGTCCCAGCGAATTAGTGTTTGCTGTTTGAAAATGGATTTTCCGTTTACAGTCACTGTGGAAATTTTCTGTAATTTGCAGAAGACACTGTCTTCATCAACCACTGATTCACGTATAGGCACATGCAGACCTGACCTGCGTTACAACATAATCAAACTTCGCCAGTGAGCAAACCAGGGTAAAGAGCGACCAGCGGAAGGATGACAGAGACTGTGTAGGCTGAGACCAATCAGCATGACCTTTTCGCAGAAGGCGAGGCTGAGATTGAGACCCTGGCTACCACAACCTTCGGGCCCGGCCCCGAATGGAATGAGAATATGGACGCCGGTTGGGAGGATTGTATACTTGGTAAACGACAGCTGGAGAAGGGACTGGAAGGAGTTAGCAGCCATAGGAAAGCGCCTCCGGCGCCGGGAGGGCAGCCTCCCAGGTAAGTCCGGGAAGGTGTCAAAGCGTCTTAAGCCAGGGCACGTCTAACTCGGCCTCGAATCTGATTGGCCTGTTGAAAAACCGAGTGGGCGAACGCCAGACAGCCCTGGTGCAGACACACTCGCGAGGGGCCCAGCGTTTTGACGGGCGCTCGGGTTAGGACCACTAAAACCTCCCGTGTGGCCCCTATATTGTAAGCGGATGGACCTCTGATTGTGTCCGGTTGCACTTAGTTCTCGATGGTATAGTAGACTAAATAAGGCATCAGTCAGTCTGAACCAGTTCTCATATCAGGCTTCCTGGCCTCATTTGACCTGCCGCCGATATCCTCTAGTGTCATATGTAAACTTGTATAAATCCCGTGATGGTCGCAACCAACGTCCTTATCTGACTGCGAGTTTACATTTGTCTCCAGCAAATAGGTTTGCACAGGTTTGTCCATCAATCGAAGGCTCCCACTGGTACATTGCAGAAAATTTAAAAGTAGGCAGTTTCATTAAACAAACTCACTGTATTTTAGAAAAAGTATGATGGTGTAATTATATCATTTACAAAGATGACAGCAATTTTTTCAACACTTCATTTCACGTATATATATAGATGATAGTCGTTCAGAAATAAAAATTCTAGAGACATCCTGTTTTTCTCACCCCACACTCCTAGTTTTTGTACTGAGGAGATTTGAGAGAGGGTGAGTATGAACATTCATAAGAAGGCTTGCAAGTAACAATTGAGGAATCTGGTTTTCTTTGCCGTTATGGACAACCCACGCTGCCTTAAGACAAGTAGGCACACGCGCAAACACGCACTCAAGCTCACTACCAGTACACACTTTCAAGGGCTGTAAGTTTAAGAACGTGAAAGTATACTACAGTGGGGAAAACATTTCGTGGCTGCTGACTGGAACAACCGTTCTCAATCTCCGGACAGCGTCCATCTCTTCCGTCACCTCGACTTCCTGTCCTACATTCTCCCCCACCCCCTCCACCCTGCCCTTCGAGTTCATGAAGTAGCCCAAGGAGGAGGGGGAGTGAAGTGAGCTTGTCGGTACCGTTGGATGGTGCAGGAACTGTGAGTACAAGCCTCCGTTATGGTCAGCGTCGCCGGGACACGTAGTAGACGGACCGTCGTCTGACTGGAGGACATAAGCACCCGACAAATTGCCTTCTTCGTCGCGACTGCTCGGCGAACAAGCGAGGAGGGAGTTGGAGGGCAGAGCGCCTGTTCGCGGCGAGTCCAGTTCGAAAAATCGGCTGTTGGAAATGCCGGCGCTGCCAAGACTGGATGGGTACAAGATGTTGAGTCCACTGGTCAGGCCAGAAAAGCCCTTTTTCAGCCGTTCCGCCTCGGTTCCATCGTGCTTCACTGTGTGGCACTGTGTGACGCAGAGCTTTGTGCCCACTTGAATTGCTGAAGAGGCCGTCGGCGGCAGCATGCTGTCGTCCTCCGACAGGCCGGGGTGGGTCTTTGGGATAAAGTGCTTACGCTCCATCTCCTCCAGTCCCAGACTGCCGAGTAATCCTAAGGGATAAATGGATCGAGTACTTTAGTTGTATCGTGGACACTGCGGTATGCCTTTAATACTGGGAAATTATATCTAGATGAAGCTAAGTCTCACTTTGCTGCATGGCATTCTTGCACACATGGAATGCAAGCTGCCCCTACAGCAGCTCGGCACATGCAGGGGGGAGGGGGGTTAGATCATGTGTGGTACGTGTAGAGGGACTGTCCAGTTTTGTCAGCCATTGCGTTCGCATCCACCTCCAGCCGTCTTGACATCGTTTTTCCGTTGAGACCAGGTGGGTAAGTGAAGGGAGAGAGAGAGAGCGTTAAGCGCGGCGCACAAGTCTGCCTTACTATAATCTAATTTACGCGCTACTTACAGGTGCTGTGGCAACTCCGTGGGCACGCGGTGACCGTCGTCGCTGACAACGGCGGGACCGTCACTCATAGCTGTATTCAGTGTCGTCGCTTTTTAATTTCCTCGGAAATTACCTAGGAAGTTGGAGTAGATCAGTTTATTCAAGGTCTATAGGTTCCGACCGAGAATTTTATACATGAATTTTCGGGCCAAGATCCATCAGCCATAGCGGGCAACCGCGTAATATTCGTTAACTGCCGACAGGCAGCTAGTAGTATACTTTACGGTAAGGTGATAAGGTTAGTATGGTATCACCTTACCCTAAAGTATACATCAGTATCCTTGTCTGAAAACGGTGTGATCATGCCTGATTGCAAAACTGAAAACACTTTTGTCCCCTATAAGTTGTCCGTCCGTCTGAAAGCAGGTTTTACCGGTCACCTGTTGTACCAGGCCATTTCCCTCACGGAATTCCCCAGTTCGGCAGGTTCTATGTAGTTTTTCCAGTATTCAACTGCAGTTTCACTTTTTGTTTTGGGAGCAGAGTGCGAATTTGACCGCTTTGGCCTGGATCACCGGTTATGGGACCCACAACGATTAGTGCTTATCTGCAGGCGGTTAATAATCGAGATTTATCATCCGACAGTCCGACCATCGTTACCGACTATGTTTACCGCGTGTTCCAAGTAAGGTGGAAGCACGGACGGTGACTTGGCGTGTGAGTTAGTTCAGAGTGATGGTAAACTTCTGCAACATATACCGAACTCTCTCCTCCCTCCTACCTGGATCTGATATCAGGGCAGAGTTCAGAAGACGGAGGCAGGAGAAGGTGCAGGTGTCTGGCACGTGAAAACCCGAACCTAGGCGTACAACTACGTCCCTTAGTCCACAACGTACAGCGACCAGGATTTTATACCATAACAAGACCAGGGGACGACACGAACCCAAATTGGCATGGCGTGAGCCTGCCACCGCATTCTGATGTTGGCATTTGTTATGGGCGCGCATTCCCGATAATGCCCTTCGGACTTTCATCTAGACTCCAGTGTTGTTCCACAGAAACAAGGGCGATCGGAATGTCCGCTGGCGATCAGTCTGGTCATCCTTGCCCTTCTTGGCAATACCCCTTGATGCTCATATTAGTTTTGCCCATTTGGGATACTGTTTCGGGAAGATCAAATAATCTGGGAAATGTGGAGGGCTCAACTGATCCGGTGAGCCCTTCATATTTCTCAGATTATCGACCCAGATCTCTTATTTTTGCTAACCTCAAGTCAAGTAATGTCCGAATAACATTACGAAGGCAAGAACAGCAAATATTTGCAATCAATGGACATAGACGTGTTGTAATCGGTTTCTCAAAATCATTGTATTTTTTCTAATGGATGAGAGGAGGCGTCCCCTACGTCGTCAAAAGTTAAGTATATTCTACCTCTTAAAATCTCGGTGCTTAAACCTTAAGACATGAGATTTTAAGTTTGGGCACTTCTTACCAACAGCGGGTACTGTTTCAAATAATAAAAGAGGTATATTTTCACACTCTTTTGCTACTGATTCTTAGTTTTCTTTTTTAATGTTGAAAGAGTTCTTCCTGGTTGCATGATAGTATTTCCGACTCTCGTTTGACCTGAATCTTCAGCTCTAGAACCAACGCAGCGGTCCCATAATGACTGATAGACAATAAGCGATAACCTCCATCGACAAAGACAAAAGACTGTGAAGGAGGCCCCTCTAGCCTATTAGCTGTGGTTAGTCAGCCCAACTTCGTGCGATTCTCGTTTTACGAGTATGTCTGAGAGCCTTAGAATTAAAAATGCAGACCAGAGACTCCCAGTTTCGTCCCGGCAGTCAGGAAATATCGACCGTCTTATCTCCCACATGACCTTCATACAAATTAAGCGTCGCCATCTGAAGCCGCAGTTAGGGCCGCAAACCTCAGAATAACTCAGATTGGAACAAGGGGACAAATTATTAGGGCAACTTGTCCTACCTAGTTGCCGATTTTTTTTAATAAAGGGGCCATAAAAGTACTGTACACAGTTGTTTTCAAGTACACTTTAAAGTATCTTTTGGTATTTTTCATTATCATAACCAGTCTTGGCGATCCTACCAATTTTAAAACCGGTGTTGAACCCAAAAAGAATGGATCACAAATTTCGATTTAACAAAAACGAGAACTATAGATACTGGCTGACTCCGTAAGTGCACACTGCCTCTTCAGTTATTCAAAAACCCTTGCCGCTTGAATCCCTCTTTCGACAAATACTGTCTGTCGGAACTGTTGTATGGTCTTCACGCCTTATTGTCTTTCATCAGAACAGGCCGTCCCATTTGTCCTTCCCTAAATTATCCCTTCTTGTTAAAAAAAGTAAAGAATTCACATCATGAGACCAGACCTCGTGTGCTTCTGGTGTTTTTGATGCTGCCCTCCTTCGTGCCATAGTGCAGCCACACTTCGCAGCGCTCAGGCCGTTAGCTGATCGCATTTTTCAGGGTGTGGTTCATAATTCCGATCTACTGTCTGCAAGGTAACCCCGCTCAACATCGATGCAATTTTTGGCGCGTCTCCTATTAGTTTCAGCGTTTCCATAATCTGCCACGGTGCTGCTAAACTACCTTTGACGTGTCAGCAGACCGAAATTCAGACACTTTTGTCTTCCAGATTACTTCGTTTGCATTCGGCTTTTTATAATTTTTTATGCGTCATTGAGTTTGGAGAATTTTTCGCCAAAATTTGTCCCTTTTGCAGAACCAGAACCGGTTAGTGAAATGCCATTCTCGAGTAACATCTCAAGATGAGAAGGAGCTGCCACTGATGAGAACCCCTTTCGCTTCTTCCAAACAGCACTTATTCCTCACTGATCAGATTCCGAGCACCTGCACTGTAGGTGAAGGGAGTAGGCGCGGCTTGAGCCCGTCCCGTGCGCCAGTCATCTTCCCGCTGTCTGCCCTGCCGTTCCTACGGGCCTGTCCAGGGCCTCGTTGTTTCTATCATCTCTAGCACGATATGTACGCGTCCTGCATGAACCTGAACGATTGTCACTCCCGTTACCGCAGTCACCACATTTCCCCTTCTCCTATAGAATCCAATATTCGCCGTCGCCCAGCGCGTCCAAGGTCTGGCGTGCGTACGTATGTGCACTTCTGCGTTTGCATGCCTTTGGCTTTGATTATGGGAGGCGCTGGGCCCGCGGCGTGCCATCAGCTGTCATTCTCGCCTCTGCGGCCTCTGGTCTCAGGGGAGGCTGTGTTGTCTGTGGGTGCGTGTGTGTGTGTATCTTTTCCGTCTCGCTCGGCTGCCACTAGGGTATTTTGCATTCCTAGGCTCTTCCCCGTCCCCTCCCTCCTCCTGAGTCCTACCTCAGGTCCTTCGGTAGCTATTGCTGCCACTGATGCTGGTCCGTCGTGATTGCTGTGTCATCTGCTCCTCTCCCCCTCACCTGGTCTTCCAACATCGGAGAGTCAATTGGATTTCATCCGCTGCCGGAAATGAACTGGGTACGGCGCCCCTCTCGGCACTTCACCGTCTCCCGCGACTCGGCAATTTTGCATAAACTCGAATTAATTGTGTTGGCGGACTAATTTCACAGTTCTTTTTCGGTCCATTTCCGTTCCCTCTCGACTCAGTACTCGTCCTGGCGCCGATGCGCGTTTTTGCCGGCTTGCGTTCAATAAAATCTTCAGAGAGGTAAAAGGGAACTTTCTCCACAGCGCGGATACTAGGATGCGAATCTTTGTCCCTAGTACTCTGCATTTTGATATTGTTTGCCTCCCTTACCAAGGCACTTCTACTTGGCTCAGCGCTTGTGTAATGTCATTTTGTGTAAATAAACTCCTGATTCAAGCGTGTCGAGGTGCATCTAGTATCTTCTTCAATGACAGCGATTGGGTCGTGGAGCAACCTGTTGTTTCAGCGTACTACTGAACAGCGCAGTGCCTCTTCGTATTAAGTCATTTTTCGGAAGTTCAGTGTTGCCCTTCCGCACTTCGACTTGTTTAACATTAAATTGCAATCTGACATCCTATCAGATTGTAATACCAGTTGCCTACAGATGGCAAAAGATGTACATATCTCGTGAAATCTTGGCTGCAACTCTAAAACGTGTTTTTGATCAGAAGAGAACGCTTAGGTGATATGGTAATACGAATTATAAAGACATTTCGATCGCACCAGTATGCCTACTCTTTAATCCTCTCTTTTGCGGCTGCCTGTAGCTATCAGATTCGCTATAAATTATTAGATTAGGTAGTACAATCTTTTTTTTTATTGATTTCCAGTGCCCCTATAAATCCCAGCCCGTTTTGTGCAAAGCATGCATATAAATCGCCTTTACTGTGGCCTTTTGAGTGTAAAACTTTTTTTTCAAATTGTTTACTCTGAAAGAAGAGATTGTAGTTTTAAAATGTCTGCAATTGTTAGATATTTTAAGACCGCGAAATGTCCGCTCAATCGGCGTCATATCCGTCTGCTTATTAATGCTCCTTACGAAATATAAAATTTAGTTTATATCTACTACAAAATTATGTGGAGATTTCTGATATCTTATTAATCATATAGACTAATGTATAATTTTCCACAACTGATAAGAGTCAGCTTCTAGATTGAAAACCCTAAACGCAAGTGCAATGAAACGTCGGGTGCAAAATTATTCGGGAATTGGAATACTTTCTAAAACTAGAAGATATTTTTTCGTCGAGTATGAAATCTGGAGAGGATAGGATTTATTACAAAATGAATGCATGAAGGGATCATTCACGCATCAGTTTTATAAATTTACTTTAATTTATAAAAGCATCGGACGTTATTGGAAGAAATTCCTATCATCCAAAGCGATCATTTTTACTTCTTGCGATTTTTTGGGCAGTAGGAAAAAACGCATTTAAAGCCAGCATTCTACCACGACTGAAGTGTGTTAATTTTTCTGGGTGTCGAAATTTCTTCTAGAGCTCGCGTCATATTTTTCCTTTGGCGGTGCTGGCCATTATGCTGCCTTATGTCCAGCAAAGTTTACTGAAGTAATAACTGACGCTGTGAAAAGATTATGACGGTCAGTTCTTATCATTTCCTCCTTGACATGTCATATCTCGAAAATCCCAGGTCGAGGCTACACACTGGGAGCAAAGTTACATTAATTTGACGATAACGTTGAACCACTAGGTCAGATTAGAGGTAGAGAAATGGACGTTCCATCCAGCTCTAGGGCTTTGATATTCAACCATTACGGAGCTTCCCCAAGACACTTTTCGTCTCTGGCTGTAACACTTCCTTTGGCGTGGGTTAGTCACGGTCGCTCGACTGTCTGCTGAGGACTAAGAACCGGTACCCTGGTATCCGAACCTGAAGGCAGGCTAGATCGTGGAAGGATACTTTCACATGGCTTTACGCCTTCCCGATAAAGGGCTACAGAGCGTGAGTCCGTGGCTCGAATGGTAGAGCACCTGTTTCCATGACCACCTGAATCCTGCTTCAAATGTCCGGTCTTCTTGGCTAAAGCTTGGATTATGACCGGCTGACGATAACAAATAAATCAGAGATCGAGCGTTTTTTTGAGTCAGAAGCGGTCATTAGCTGCATTATAGCAGACCGCTTGGGGGAAATCTGTCTGGCCAGCGGAGACCCTTTGCATCTGCTTCAACAGCTTTGTTTAAGCCGAACTCAGAGCCGTTTTGTCAAATTTTCAATTGGTAGAAAACTTACCTCATGTTTTGTGGGCCTCTCCGTAAATAACTTAGCCCATTAGCTACCGTCTGTATTGCTTTCCGGATTTCCCTACTGTCTACTCAGCACTCATCACTTCATCCTGGTATTGATTTTTGTGCTACTTCCTCTTCAATCCCGACAGGTCTCGTACAGTGGCAGGACACACACCTCACGCCATCATCCTTTCACCGACTGCTGTTATCCACCTTGATGGACAGATTGTACGCCTCTGCGCAAGTCAAAGGCAGCCATAAGGGCGTTATCCATCCCCCAACATCCCCCCCCCCCAGAATAGTGACATCCGACTAGTAGTCAAATGACCGGATAGAGAAGGCGACGTTATTGCCGGTGTGGCTCGTCAGTACCGGGGCGAAAGCATAACTATTTTCACGCTTGACTTATCTTCTACTGTGTCCTCCCAGTGAGCCTTTCTGGAGCTGATAGACGGGGAAAGAGAGATAATGAGGAGCCGCCGTACCATGCCCCTCACTGTTTTCCCATTTAGCAGTACGCTTTCCGTCTGTCGTCAGTACAAACACCTGTCAACGTTTCAGACTCTGTGCTGCCCGGATGCGTCTCTTCTCCGCTCCCTCATATCGCCCCCCCCTCTCCCCCCCCTTCCCGTAGTTTAACAGTGTCTGTTTGGTCATCGCATCTGTGTGAACTTCATTGCGCACACAGAATTTGCTGCGCAACAAACCCATTGTGTCTCCCCGATCGTAAAAGTTACCCCTGTTCCCTTTATGACATTGTTGCGTAAAACATGACTGTATCAAGCCACGATCCACTACCTGGATTCCCTGGTGAGAAAGGAGGCACTATTGTAAAAACGGGGCACGCTACTCCGGGCTCCGGTATTCGGAGGCGTCCTTCGAGGGCATTTTGATTACTTGAAGACGAAGATGGGCTCTGCGGAAGAGGTTTATTTAAGTGCAGACGTTTCAAAGAGCTGGGTCGGCTCTTTGAAACGTCAGAAATTTCTGATCGATTAAGTGCATTTTACGCTTTGACAATAAAAAGCCGAACCAGCTCTTTGAAACGTCTGCACTTAAATAAACCTCTTCCGAAGAACCTATCTTCGTCTTCAAATAATCGACCCGGATATCTCAACTTTTCCAATTTTGATTACTACCAAAGCATACGCTCCGCCCTCCTTCGTCGAGAATTTGTGAGTGTTATTTGGCTGAGAACGATGCTCCCGTAAATGCCTGACAGGTTAGAACTGATATCCAAACTTCTTGAAGTTCTGCCCCTTTGTCAAATAACGATCGCTGGTCCGGAATACTATCCTTAATAATTGTGCAAATGTGGGCATTTTGAGCGCAGATCGTGACAACTGAAGCGGCTGGTTTTGTTTTATATTTTGAGTCATCTATCAGAACTTTCCCATTGTTCGTCTAGAATCTGGCTCCGTCACATTCATCTGGGGTCATTTTCGGTGATTCATTGGTATGGGCCCTAGACAGGCAAATCAGGCAGTTATTTTTTTATTTCTCAACTATGGTTGAGCACTTTTCCAGAATATCTCCAGGGAAGCAGCGGCAGAGACAGAGACCATTTGACAGGCGATACTGGGGCGGCAGATGTGTCAGGTGTATTTATGCCATTATTAGACAGCTACTGCCCTGACAAGTGCCTGTGCACGGAAAAACATAAACGACGGCTACGAAGAACTCTTTACGCCTTCTGCTTGTTTGTGCTGGACCCTCGCTAGCGGCGTTTGAGTTGTCGTGAGTGTGCCATGGAACCTTCTTTCCAGAGATACAGTCATTCCCGGGTCATCGATGCGGTTGAATGTCCATTGCATAAAAATGCCCCGTAAAGTTCAGGCGAATGTCATAATGAAAGAGGTAACAGAGGTGGCACCGTCTGGGTCGACCATATCAAGCACGATCGCAATTGCAAAGAGATCGTTGGAAAAAGACCATTAGGAGCCTGACGTTTCAGCCTGACACTCCAATCCATCATCGGAGACAAAGTCAGATAATGGTTAGGATAATAAAGTCCTTGTTTCAGTGATCGTGTCCCCTTCCTGGAACTGGCCTCTTCTCTTCTCTTAAGGATCATAGTTGCATGCAGTACTTGAAAGCAATACACTGGTGGTCACTGTCAAACGCACCGGTGAGTTTGGAGGACACTTTGAACTTGTCCCGCTCTGGCACTCAGCTTTCATATAGGGCTCCGCGAAACTGTGCTTAGCACGGCAGCCTCACCGTGGTAACCGCCCTTAACCGGCGGGCCAAAGTTAGATGAATGCTGCCGGGCTGTGTCTGTGGAACCGGCAGTTCCTGCACAAATCCGCATTCATTCGTCCCCCCCCTCACCTCCTCATTCCTGAATGAAGGACCTCAGGTCCCTCATCGAAATATCACGTAAGGAATGAACCGCCGAGTCCTCACCTTCGTTCTGCTTGAGGACCGGACTGGTTCGTCAGATAGCAACCTTCAACGCCAGGACTTTTAGCATGTCGCGAAAGGTTAAGAGTGTGTTTGATTATTTGTAGTGAGCGGACTACTCACTGATCTTTCCCCCATCTATGTACCTTCCTTCCTCGGGTTTCAGTAACCCACCTGAGCCGAGCAGACTGGTGATGAGACTGACAGCATTGGCTGTCATGGCATACAGGCTCGTCTTATGCGTACCACAGGCAAACCTCCACGCATACGATGTGTCGTCCGCCGCCATGAACATTCGTACTCCTAAGAGCGCGGTTTCTGTATGCTGGCCGCGTGAAGAACATATAGGTAAGAAGTGGGTGGTGGGTAATTATCCGAGGATTGTGTTCGTCCTCACGTACAGTAGGTGGACTAACTCATGAAATGTCAACCGAAATTCCGAAATGTGTTTTCGTTTCGAAAAGATTAATTAAGTAGGGCTGTAAAACTAGTCAGCCTGCAACATAATTCTATAATATTTCAGTTACCACAGGATGTCGGCTTTCGAATGAACCTCCTTCCGACTGTATACAAAAACTACACTCTGCAAAAAATGACTACTTTAGTAGCATGCGTTTTTCTCATTGATTTTCGATAGCCTTAAAAATTCAATTATATTTCATGGAAAACATGCATAAAATATTCATCCTTTTGTCCATTCGATAGAAAATTACGTCTTCTTTCAAGTTCATACTAGAGGGAGGGACATCATTCGGTTTTAAAAGAGCTTCTGATTGTGGGACTTCTAAATACCGTGAAATGGCCGTTCATAAATCGTCATATCTCTGAATTTACCAATGTGGCTTGTAAGGCTAACAATACGGATCAAATCTGCTGCTAAATTTATGAACCCTATATGGTTCCCGTTTAGTGCCGTAGAGAAATGTGTGGTTTTCCGTACGGGGAAAATACACGGCTTGTAGTTTGATAACCCTGAACCCAAGTGTAACGGTAGAGCGGGTTCAAAATTATTCGGGAATTGGAAAAGTTTTTGAAAACCGAATTATACCCGTCTTTCGAAAATAAGATTGGAAGAAGACATAATTGTCTATTAAATGAGCAAATGAATGACTATTTGTTCGCATGCTTTCCATGGAATATAATTGAGCTTTTAAGGGCATTGGAAATCAATGAGAAAAAATGTATGCTACTTAAGTAGCCATTTTTTACAGAGTGTAGTTTTTTGCACGCAGCCGAACGGAAATTCATTTGAAAGTTTGCATCCTGAGGTAACTGAAATATCATAGAACTATGCTGCAGACTGACCGGTCTAACAACGCTGCTTATTAAATCTTTTCGAAACGAAAACGCATTTCGGAATTTCCGTTGACATTTCATGAGTTAGCCCACTTGCTGTACATTCCATAATGCGCAAACGCGGTGGCTGAAAGTACGGTGCAATGAGTTCTAGGAAGACAGACGTGCGGGATGTTCTAAGTACCGACTCTGCAGTCGATGTGCGATGGTTTCGACTCTTGCATACCTGTGAATTTGTCCAGACCTTACATCTTCGACTGCTTTCTGAGACTGCCGCTCCTGCTTATAAAGAAATACGTTAAGTGCCCCAGCGATTATGTGTGAGGTGTGCCCCCCAAACGGGTCACGTGGTAGATGCGGTGAACAAACACGGAGACCATATCGGATCCTGGCGGGCGTTATCGGATTTGCGCATCATAACAACATTTCGGGGTGTGGTGGCGGGCCCGGTTGCCGGCAGAAGTCGCGCACACTGGGACCCTGCGACTCCCCATTGTTATTGTTACTCAAAAACCTGATTATTTGTTGCGTGGACCAGGGGGTGTGAAGTGGAATGCCAGGGTGCGGGCTCGACCGTGCCATCCACCTGCGTCTTCCCCCGCCTCCGGTCTTCTTGACTCTGTCATGACACCGGGTCCAGGTGGGGGAGGAGGGGAGAGTGCGGTGGATGCAGCGCAAGTCCACTATCACTATAAACTAAATTTTCGCACAAGTGGCCATCCCTTCTCGCACCTTGAAGCGCTCGGTGGATATCGTCGAAATCGATGGTTGAACTATCATGTATGAGGTCTTCCGGGGTGTTCTGATTGATTTTTAGGCGTTTGAGGCAGGTTCAGGGAGTGTGCCTGTTTCGACGTCTTTTTCACCATGTCTACGGACATACACAATGACGTCACTGTATAGTAACTTCATTTGACTGCGCACGTCAATCTTCCTCACGACATGACCACCTCGTCGCTGATAGGACTGTTTGATCACATCCTAATTGCCACACATGTTCATCATTTCCAATACGTCCATTTTCAGGACGCTTCCCCCCGCTTCATCACCAGTATTTTACCGAAGTGACTGCGATGAAACTGGTCTGGTTATTTTTCCTGACTCTGGCACATTGTCGGCGTCTTCGCTCCACATAAGAGATACCGCACTGTGTATCCTCAGTTTTCTGTTGAGAAGTATGCCGCAACGGTTCTGGACGGAGAACTGTAGCCAGCCAAATGATCGGCTTGTTTTAGCAATCAAAAGAAGATATCGCATTGTCGACCTTGAATCTTCTTGAGGATGTTCATTCTGGATACTCTCATTCGTCCACAGACGTGTGAACGAGTCGCGTACCATGGGCACCTATCTGCTGTTCGCTTCAGTCATCATTTGACGTCAGCTGATGCATGCGGATAGTCAGTCTGGAGTTCGAGTAGCCGGGAACAAGGAGTTCCACATTCCGTTGCAAGTCCACTGTCTTTGTGGTGTTGAACGCGTACACATTCGCAAACAAGAGGCTGTGCAGACCGGCCTTGCATACCCTTGCTACTGCGACGGACGTTTAACAGGTGACCAGCAGCTCGGCGACTGATGTGGATTCCAGGCCGCTCGTCACGACGGGCACCCACCGACATGACGAAAAAGGAGACTGAGGAGAGTGGGGACGGGTACACAAATCTGTTTTACCTCAATTGTCGGAACAAATGTTTGCCAATCCTTACCCGCTCTCCGTGAAACGTACCGTCATGCTGTCTTATATCTTTCCTTCCGCTTGCGTAAATGGTTCCTAACATCGAACTTCATCATGGTTCCCCAAACACCATTTTGGTATGGAGTTTCACAGCTTTTCCCGAATCCGATTTTTGTTCTTGGATGTAGACTTCTTCCAGATGTGCATTCAGATATTCGGCTAGAACGAAAGTAAGCCTTTCGCCTCCAGTGCTGGAGAGGGAGATTTGATCGTAATTATCATGACCTAATTGATATTCTTTCCGTTAGCCTGTTTTGACTCTCGCAGTATCTGTCCATCTTCCCTGAACATCGAAGTTAGTTCTCTCAGAACTCGAAGAGCACTGCATTTGCAAAATATTGTTAGAATTAACTCAGTGTCCGGAGCTTTTTCCGTCGATCATCTACTGTACTACCTAGATCGCCTCTTGAGGAGAGGGCGGACGACCGATGCCAACATTGGCCTTCACTCAAGCCCGTCTGCTGACGGCTGCTTTCCAGAGCGAAGATGGACGATTAATGAAGGCCGTGGAATGCGTTTGACCCAGCGCCCCATACTCTGCGGACTCGCCCCAGCAATAAAGTACTAAACTTCTTGTTCTTGGTACGATTGCGATCATGTATAACCTATCCGGCCTCGATGATGTCACGACCTTTACCTCTCCACGCGTGACGATCCGCGGCATCAGAACTGCACAGCTCAACCCATTCTCTTCGCCAACGACGGAGACCGAATACCGAAGGTCCAAAAACCACCTCCATGTGTTAACGACCTGTGTCGAGTCAGGTTTTGAGTTGACTCCCTCTTCGATGCCCCAATGGGGTAAAGGTGCCGGATCGGGGGCAGCAACACTGAGCTCCTGAGGTGAACGACGAAGAACATGCCCAAACCACCTCAGTCACCTTTCTTGGATGGCCTGGGTTATCCTTGCTATGTTGTCGCAGCGAGCGTGTACTGTCTCATTTGAGACGAAGTCAGTGCACTTCACTCGAAAGATGGTCCTCAAGCAGTGGTGGTCGAATACCTCCAGTTTTCGCCCGTCCTACAAGCGCACATCCCAGCATTCACAACCATAAAGGAAGACAGACCGGACAGACGTACGGTACATACACGCGAATCTTAGTGACGATGGAGAGGTCGCGTCGGATCCATAGGCTTTTTCTAAGGCTTGAGAAAACCCGTTGGGCAGCATCAATTCGCGAGACAATGTCATTCATACCCTATCCATTCGACAGCAGCCTCGCCCCGAAGTATTTAAAACTGTCAACTCCTTCAAGCTGAAAACCAATCCTGAGAGGTGCCTTCTCCTGGTCAGGAATGCAGCAATAGAGCCGAGAGGTTGGAACCGATCGGGGGCAAAATTTGGTTGCTTTGAGGGTTGTAGGCTGCCTTGATGGCCCCGAGGCAGTTCCTAATTTTTTAATGGCCTGCGCGTTGTTGAATTGTTTTTGATTTGCAAATCAGCCAGTCGTTACGCATCTCGCTTAGCTGTTGCTACACTGGTAGTGGACATTGGAAAACTGCGGCTGTGATTGTGCCTCCCTTTGGTCCACGGAGGTCTTGTATAGATTGTGTTTTTTAAATAGGAGAGGTTGGGTTCTTTCATTGTCGTCCTTAAACCAGTCTCGACGCTTTAATATCTTTGGTACTGTCCAGTAGTTTTCTGCGTTTCTTCTAAATGTCATCCTCCGTTTGACTTGTGTTTGGTTAGTAACTAGGGTCGGTTTTCTGCTGTTATTCGTTATGATTTCTGCATATTTAGTGTTCCCAGATTTCACGTACGCGTTGCTTTCCCGTAGGCCTTGGGTTTCAGTCTCGTCTTCTAGACGAGAGTATGGTCGTCTATCCACCATTCGGCTTGGTACAGCACCTTGCATCTCACCTCCAGATAGGCATATGATCCAGAAGCTGCCAATGACGCTAGCAAAGGTGCATCTGCCCTCCCTTCCTCCGGTTTGGCCGTCGGAATATGCTGCTGGTGATAACAAAATCCTGTTTCGTCCATATCTGAAGCAGCAGACTGAATCTGCTGACGGTGCAGCTGCCTAATCAATGGCAACCTGACATTCCTTCCTAGTTTACGGGCTAGGTGCCTGCGGGGATCCCTGTCACCTAAAGAAGGAAGCTGTTGCGGATCGATGTCTTTCGGCCACGCATGTAATGTCTAATAGCCACAGCCAAATTATAGACGTCACCAATCAGCATTTGCTTGGGATACTAGTACAATCTCCAACCTTTAAAAGGGGTAAGCAATGCGCCCGTGAATAACGGCTTCTAAGACATTCCAGACGGCGATCGAATTCCGCCTTGGCCCAGAACCGGTATTGTGGTAAAACAGTCTGAAATCCTATATCCTGTGCACTGAATAACGTTTGCAGTCATGGGAGAATGGGACGGGTGGAACTATAGCAGGACTCACTAGATGTAGAAGTATAAACACCAGGTACTCCCATCTGCTTTATAACGCCAGCCAGAAACGCCTGGCGGTGTAAAGCCACTGGACGAAGCACATGAGGCCACAAGTAAGATCTGGGTGCTGGAGGAGATGTAGAAGCACAAATCCATCAGTACGGAAAACTGTTATGTGAATCTCCGGTCCAGAACACTCTGTGAACAAATGCTAACTTAACAGTTCTTGAGCAATTCTAGTACGGCCTGACTCTGCCAGTAAAGGCTTGACCCGTCTGATATGAACCTTCACTGCTCAAGCACATGACTGTTGATCAGAGCCAGGTGACTTACTGCTATGCACAACAAGTCAAATGTTCGGATTGGCAGACAATCGAGGCGCAAAAGTCACTTGTAATAAGGGCCCGTCTTCCCAATTTCATACAGACTCTGTTATGTATGTAAGTGAATAACTGGCGGAAGACCCTGTGATACTGCTTCTGGAACAAAAAAGACCTCCTCGACGAGCTGGGCCAAAACCGTGCTCTGATTTACTCACGGCACGCGGTAACAACAGTCGGTAACCGATCTCATAAAAAGTTAACCGAAATTCTAAAATGCACTTTCCACTTTGAAGGATTGCCTAAGTGAAGCTGTGAAAGTTATTAGCATACGACGTAATACCTCGATCATTCTGACACATCGAGGTGTTAGTTTTCGAATGCACTTCTTTTGGACCACCTACAAAAACTGCACTCGGAAACAAATGGGTGCCTAAGTAGTATGCATTTTTCCCTTGATTTTCGATGCCCTCATAAATGCTAATATATTTTGTAGAAGACCACCATAAAGATATTGCTTCCTGTAAATATTTGGTACCAAATCGTGCCTTCTTCAAATTCCATCTTTGAGAGAAGGGAACCCTTTGGTTTCAAAAAGGTTTTCCAATTTCTGAATAATTTAAAATCATTTTCTTTCACGGTTTTAAGTCTTCAAGCCGTATACTTTCCGCGTAGGGGGTAACATATTTTCCTTTCTGTTATTGAGGAAATACCTTATTGTACCCATACAATGTTGCGTTGAGTATAAACTATGTTGCATACTTAATGAGGAGCATTATTAAACAGACAGATTTCGTGCCATCAGAATGTACATTGCATGGTCTTAAAAAATGTCGAAACATTTGAAATCCAAAAGATACCACTTTTCGAGTGTGAAATTTAGAGGAGAGATGATTTCCTACCAAATAACAGCATATTTCTATTAATGTTCTTCGCAAAATATTTTTTTGCATTCATGAGGATATCGCAGATCGATAGAGAAAACGGATACTGCCCGCTAAGCAGGCTAGTCAGAGTTCGTGCGAGTTCATAAGTACTTCGGGACGTTGTAGGGTGTGGTAGCACGTCTGAAGGTAGGCCCTGACGACGCGTCAGCTATTGCGCTCAATCCCGTCACCAGCCGATTAACAGACCCAGACAGTGAACTGGTTCGTGGGTGAAGAAAGGGGAGACGTGAGGCAGCTTCCATTCTCACGGCATATCAGCGCACTCCTCTGACGCTCGCGACACGCTAAGAGCCGTGGCTTGGAAGGTTTCCAGCTAACGAAATAACACGGTTCTTTTAAATAATGAGAATCAGCCTGGAATGGCTCCTTCCCAGCCGAATCATTATAGTATTCTCACGCAGATGAGATTCGGGACACCCCTGCAAAGGTCTAGTACTTGTCATAATGATCAGTCCGTACATGGCACGCGTAGAAAGGCCGTTTAACTTCATCCTCCATTCCTCCCCTTGGGCCTGCCTCCAGTCGCCACGGCACTGTCCCGTCATGTGAGTTAGGTTGGTGACGGAAGAAATAGTGTGGCGGAAGCTTCGCAAGTCTACATCATTATAGACTAGTTCAAACACAAGCCACCGTACTGGGCCCACACCGTGGTGACACACGGTGGGTGTCACAGTTCGTGGTTGTTGATTGTCGAAATAAAAGTTGCTGGCCAGGCCTTTAATATTTCGGCATGAGTAGGTTCCTCAAGTGTAGCTCTAATCTCTTAGTATATTTCATGATCACGTCAGCATGGACAAAATTGTGCTGTGATCAGTTCGCGTAGGGTCTCAAAACTAACCAGAATTCAGACTCATGCACTCTTTTAGGCTGCCTTCAGAACGTCTCGCTCTTGCAGAACTTTTTCACACGTTTTCCATAAGGTGTTGTAAGGTCTGTCGGGCTTGTTTTATGTCCTTGATACGCTGTGCACAAGTCTCGACACAGCTTTCCTCGTGCCTATTATGTTTTTTATAAGATGCCCTGGCGAAACATCAACGCAAGAGCCCCCCTTATTTATATTCATTTACCGAGTTTAAATCACGCGCTTTGAATCAGATGTGGTTGACGCAGTTGTCGAGATGCGACACCGACGAGGAAAAGGAGAATTAGGACACTCATTTCAGGCCTGCCTACTGCCGCCAGACAGCAATACCTCGTCCACGACCTGGGAGCGTCCGACGTCCCAACGCTTTACTTTTACGCCACGAATTCGCGTCATCTCGGCCACGATCGTGATGTTCAAACCTACGATCAGACAGACCGGAGGGTTGAACGTGGTCGCAGTCGACTTGGACGCCTACTCTGTTGGCTGCTATAAATATTTGGCATGAAGGTCATACCTTTTAGAGCATTGGATAATCAGCCCGAAAATGACCTGGGCAGAGCGATGTTATTCTGCCTATCATCACTTCTTTCTTTCAACTCAAACCTCAAACGTAACCTCAAAAACGTTGTTTGGAAAGAACACCCTGTTTGATTGAGTTCCAGGCAGAGGTTTTCTTTTAACGCAAGAGTGGAATGAGCTGGCAGCGTTAGAGCACTTGGCGTTGGCTTGAGTGGACCGAACTAAAATCCCACAGACTGCGCGCAAGCTATTGAAGGACACTTAGCATTTTAATTGAAGCTGAGATGCTTCCTTGAAGACCCACTGCCCTACTGAGAGTGATTGCTAAATCCAATGTCACTTTAATCATAAAGTAAGAAGCCTTTTACCTACCCTGATCGTAGGGATGTGCAGCGGTCGTTGACGAATATGTTGCCATTGTCTGTATACCAGAGTCAGTGTTCATTGTCGGGCACGTAGCTGCGGCCATATCGTGAGTCAATTTTGATGGCTTTCCTCCACCTGAAGTTGAGTCGACAGTCAGGTGCCTCGTCTCCGTGGGCAGACATTGACGAACGGGCGACTGGGCACGCTCGTCTTCCTCCTCCTCATCTTCCTCCGCTGTCATCCGACCATCTGGCGTCTCCACCTTTCCAGCAGGTCGAAGTGTGAAACTCATCTCGCCGTTGAGCTGATCGATTATGCTGGCGTTCCGCGAATGGTCGGGACTCAATCCAATCAGGCCAGTTATGCTGAAGTTTCCGGAGATTGGTATTCCGTTGGCTAGGTGGGTCGCTCCTGCACCGGCCAAATGAAGTCCCCTGGTGATGAGCGCATGATGGAACAGGTCAGTCGGAGTGGCCACTGCAACCGCCGCCGTCGCTGCTTGACCGGACAGCAAAGGAGTGAAGGCAGACGCCTTCGGGGTGGTCTTCTCGGGAGTGTAACTACCATTACCGTCAAAGAGGAGTCTTTCCTCTGCCAGAGACCGGGTGCCAAATAGCGGCCCTGTCGGTTGTAGTCCACTGCGGTAAAAACCCCTCCGCAGTGTTCCCTGTCCAAAGGCGGGGGCGGTCTCAGCCCTTGCGTAGAGACCAGACGGTTGACTCAGGGTTTCGCATTGCATCATGCTCCAAGGATTCACAGCAAGCGGCGGATTCGGGCTCTCCGCAGGGGACTGTTGTTGTTCCCTTAGAAAGGATGACATGGTAGTTGGCGGAGGTGGGGCAGGGAAGGTCGGACAGCCGGTGCCCACCCCCTTTCTATCCATGCAGAGGAGGCGTTCGCAGGCCGCAGTTGCATCCTCTGCCAGCGGGTAGGAAGACTTTTGGGAAGCTGCGAAGGGAGGGAATGTAAACCGTCTCTCGGCTGCAAGAAGATTTGAGTAAAGGAGGTCACCCTCAGGCTTCTGGCGTTCGCAGTCTACTTGATTTTGAGTCACGTGTGGGAGAGGGTGGTTGGCGGGGTGTGCAGATGACTCGGTCGCTAGATAGCGCTCCTCGAGGATCTTTGGCTTGGGGCCGGGGCCATAGTCAGGTTCCAAAATGGAAGAGGTGGAAGGTGGCGTGCCCACTGACAGTGACTGTAAACGTTTCAGGCTGTGTTGTCGACCCACCATATTGGTGGAGATACCGGCAGTGGAAATGGCAGCCGGGGATTTTTGATCCTGGCAGTTCAGTGTTGCGGTTTGCAGCTTGTTGTTGTCATTAGAGGGTAGATTTCGACGTGCCCTTTCACGTAAATTGTCTGTAGGCTGGGTCTTCTCTCCATGCTCAAGCAAATACCTAGTTTCCTTTGGACGAAATCAAAATAAGTTGATTATTCTGAGCCAGTTGGATGACAGGTCAAGGATAGCTCATAAGGCTGATATTGAATAAAGTAGTGTATCAAAAGTATTTTCTGTCAGAACCCACATATAATGAAATGCTGTGAGCAGAATGTAAGGCAAACAGGGGGGGGGGCAGTCTTTACCTTATTCCTAACTATTCTGTTGATTGAGGAGACGGAAGGAAGAATATCACTCGTACAAATGCCATCTCGCAGTAACCGCTCGCGGATTTCCCAGGCGAACATCGTTGGATTGTCGGTCTTATATTGATGAATTGCATCGACTACCTGGGGGGTGGCAACCTTCGGTTTGGACCCGCCAATGACCCCCGGTCGAATACTTCCGGTTTCGTAATATCTGTCAGCACCAAAATAAAGGTAACTGAGAAAAAATAAACGCTAGAAATTCAGTACATTTTCCGCCATGGGTTTCTTGTAAAATTTTATTCTGCAGTTTCGAAGTCGTTAACGATATTTATTATGGATAAATTTCCAATGGGATAACGAGTAACTATCATTGACCTTTGAAAAAAATTTGGCAGTGTGAACATTTTTCTTACATTTTGAACATTTTAACTATTTATGGGGGACCCTGTACTTGGGCATTAAATAACTCCAGACTATACAAAATATTTCTCATTCTGAATCATTCATATGCCCTGGTTTATCGGGCAGGACACGGAAATACGGACGTCCCACCCACGCCTCACAATAAATTTCAGGAAATGTAAATGTCCCCTTGCCCCGACCCCAGCCTTGACGCCAACCCTAATTCTAACCCTAACCCTGAAATTATTTGCCTGAAATTTAGCATAAAGTCACCTATATTACGGAGGTTCCTTTTCCCGTGTCCTTGGGGGGGGGGGGAGGTATATAAAAGATCCCTGCCGTCTTCTAATTTCAACGACGTTTGCTTGCCCTAGGCCTGGCGTATGTCTGAAGGCGCACTGTCATTCCAGCCCCTCTCATCGTTTCGCTCAGGGTGGCCACATCGCATGACCAGGATCTCAGAGGTGACCGCTACTCACACCTTCTATTGAAATGATTGGGAAGCCTAACAGTATACATTAGATGGGCTATCTCATGAAATTTTAACCAGAATTCGGAGAAATGTTTTCGATTCGAGCAAATTACTTGGGTGGGGTTCTGATACTAATTACCATGCAGCAAAATCCTAATCATGGGAGGATGCGGGCTTTTAAACGAGATTCTTCCCGACCGCCTGCAGAAATACGCTCTCTATAAACTGTCACTTAAGAAGTATGAATTTCCGCCGGTGATCTTCGATGTCCTTATAAATTCAAATATATTATAAAGAAGACATGCACAAAATACTATCTCTTTTACTTATTTGGCAACGAACTGCCTCTTCCTCAAAGTTTGTACTTGAAGGAGAAGTGTATTTCGGTGTTAACATGTTTCTATTGATGGGATTTTTCAAGGTTATAAAATGTTATTCATTTAGAATTACATCAGAACGTTTTGTGCAATAATTTACCGTACTAACAACACAGGTATTAGCTAAAAGCCCAGACACGCGTGTTTCGCCGATCTTGTGCCGCTGCCTGACGCAGCTGCGAGGGGTTCGGCTCGTCAGTGGGTAAATTATTGCACAATGCTATACTACTGGCTGCCTGTTGGCGGTTTGTGAATATTAAGCGGTTATTCCGCAGTAGCTGATGGATTTCAGCTCAAATATTCATATCAAATTTCGGACAGTGCCTGAAAAGGCCTGTTTCGAAAGAGTTACTCCAAGTTCGCGCATTAATTTCCTCGGAAATTAAGCAAGGCAATCAGAACGTTTATTAAAATTGCTTATAAAGTATACAACCTGACCCACAGCCCTTGCGCTGTTTTGAGTCCTAGATGACGCCTCTCAGCAGCGTAGAGAAACGTGCGATATTTCTCTGACGGAATGTGTATAGTATATAGTTTAGAAACCACGAATGAATGTGTAACAGCAGATGGAGCAAGAAATTATTTGGAAAATAAAAGCGTTTTTAAGAAATTAAAGACACTTCCTCTTTAAGAAAAAAACTTGAAGGAGGCGTAATTTGCTACCGGATGAGTAAAGGAGCGAATATTTTTCATGTAGTCTCTATTTAACATAGTTAAATTTATAAGAGCGTTAGGAATCAGTAATAAAGTTTATACTACGCAAGCAGTAATTTTTTATGGAGTATAGTTTTTGCAGACAGTCGAAAAGAAGCTCCTTCGAAGGCAGGCATCCTGGCGTGATTGGAATGTCCAACATGATAATTTATATTACAAGACAACTTAAGTAATCTTTTCGAACTGAAAAAAATCCAGAGTTACAGTTAACATTTCACGAGAAGGTACATCTCTTATAGTTCTATCCCCTGTGCTGTCGAGTTTGTTTGTCTCTGGAAGTTGGTTTTGTTGGATGTTGTATCTAAGGTAGGATTACGCGGATGTCACCAATTTACTAGATACAATAACCGGTAGTCAAAAATGCCGTAATCAAAAGTCATAGTGGCGGAAGTGGCCTTGTAGTGTTTTAGTCACAGCTTCCAAGTCCGTTCTGCTCGTATATGTACTAATGAACATCACAAAATGTCACATCTCAGCGTTCATCTAGAGACCAGAATCCTCAACTGCCAAAAGATTCACTAACTATTGCCTTGCTTTTTTTAAATTGCTACGAGGACTTCCTCTTTAACTAGTAGTGGCTCGTCCGATTGGGCCGCTGCCTAATCTTTCTATTTAAACAAAAAATGTCTTATCTAGAACCCCATTCTGTTAGCCCAAAGCAACTGTCTTTGGGAGGGAAATCCCAAGACGTCAAAAATATCTTAAGCCCGTTCGAGAGCCGTATTATTGCATTTGTAGTATGTACAGTAGCTAGGCTAAATCATGAAATGTCAACCGAAATTTCGAAATGCGTCCTCGTATGGAAAAGATTAATTAAGTATGGCTATAAAACTGATTATCATGCAGCTTAATTCTATGATAATTCCGTTACCTCAGAGTACCTTCTTTTGAATGAACTTCCTTCTGGTTGCATGCAAAAACTACACTATGTAAACAAGGATTACTTAAGTAGCATGCAATCTTCTCATTGGTTTTCGAAGCCCTTGAAAATTCAATTATACTTCATGATCAGTTCTGGTCAATCTTTCGTCATAAACTAACCATGCCTTAGTCTCAAGCCCTTACCTCTACGCAACCAAGGTTAAAGCGCTAGTATTCCAATCCAGAAGAACACTGCGATTTCCGATGTGTAACTAGGCCAGACGGGTGGACACCATTCCCTTTTTACCTGTTGGCATCCCTGATCGTAATTGACAGGACGCAGACCTGTTGCCCAACTGGTAGAGCATTTCGCGTAAAATCGCCCACTTCTCAACTGTCTCGTACTTAAGTCTCTCTTGTCCTCGTCGGTAGCAACATACCACTTAAGTCTTATTTATCTGCCCTCGGTTGACGTAGGACGTTTAGACCTCCTTGTAGCCCGTTGCGCTGAATCGAAAACCAGTCAACATTGGCCTATGGCGGCATGCGTGTGAGATCAAGCTGTTTGGTAAGTCTGTGTGAACCCTTAACTGCCGTTGCATGTTCGTGTGTCCCACGCAGACAACGCCCTTCAGGCCACGTCGGGCATTGCGTCTGACATCAATAGCATTCTGTGGAAGTGCTCGGACAGTTCATAAGAGGGAAGAGAGAGTGAAGTCGGCCATCTCATATGTTTAGATATGCAAATAAAGCCTTTTTACTAAACTAAAACATTAATAAATCGCAGTAAGTGATGGACGGAAGAATGCACGAATCAACAAACCGTCAGATCAACGGCTGAGTAGTAGAAACCTAGACTGAGGGCTGAAATTTGGTATAGTATTTTCTTACTTAAGCTTAGAAAAGACTCACTGTGACGAGATTAGGAAAGATTAGGCAGTGGGTATCACCAAGATATTGAAAAATCTCGAAAGGGGTGGGAATGGCGCGCTCTAATACCACAGGTCTTATAGGTTGTCTGTGGGACTATTCCGAGGAGTGGAAGGGGGGGGGTAGTAGTCGTGAGTCGTTCCGAGCTGTAAGGCTAACTGATGGCGGTAATTAAACTAAAAACAGGAAAACAGCGCACTAGGCTATGCCACGCGAATGTCACCATTGGATTTCTTTGACTTCCTGGCAGGCTGAGATTCTTCCGGCTCCCTCAAGAAACAGAGGCAGTAATTCAGCAGAATAACACACTGCCATAAATGCGTAAAGAAATACTTCGCCCAACTGAAAGACAGCCCGGCCGCCGGTAGCGTTATATCCAGACTCCATCAGATGACGGTCCCATAGCATGAACGTCAACCGGTGATTAACTCAGGCAAAGGAGACTGTAACCGGAGTTTATTGATGTATTTCTGTTGTCAGTCAGCCACATACCTGTCTGCGCAAAATAGTTATCCGCAAGGAAGACCGGGGGTGCTTAACCGGAATCTCTTGTGATTGAGCCACGGGTCTTGTGTACTGCTGGCTGAGATCGGGAATGTTTAAGGCCACGAGAGCGTGGCTCAATTTTGGACTTCGTCTCGAGTTTGAAATGAGTAGCTGCCGATAGTCAATAATTCAAAAGTGGTCATTCCCGCCTTCTCAGTTTATTTCGGCTCTACTTAGTGATTACTGACTGCTCGTCTCCAGGGTGGGAGGGGGAGATATCTGCGCTGGTCGTGGACTGAAGCCCTATGGCAGATCTTAATCACTCGTATTCCATCTTGCAATCAGGTCAAATCGGTGATCACCCTCCTCTGTGACTAGAAAGTTGATGTGAAAAGTGCTTTCTCGTCTACTACGCAGCACTGGTCTAAAGCAGCATGATGATTTTTTTCCTTTTTACAATAAATGCCATTTTAGGCACACCGCATGGAGCAACGAACTATGAACAGGTGCTTGTAGTGAAGGAGAGGCGCATAGGATGTTACACAATTCCAAAACGTCCAACCTTCTCAAACTCACTTAAGAAGCCTGCTACTGATTAAATTCTTCAGCAACTTCCATAAGTGCTGCCTCTCAGGCCCCAGCACACGATACCTCAGACCTGTGTATGTTCTTTAGCAGGGGGTGTTTACAGAATGACCAAGAAAATAGTACGAAGATCAAGGTCTCCGCTGCACGAACCTCACTTTAGTATTCTCTTCGGTGATAGGACAGCACCTGTTTCACCGTGGCGCATCGGCTCGAGCCTTTCTTGTCACTCCTCTGAATCGTCGTCATACAGGTGGGTTTTTCGCCAATAC